ATTTTCAATCTGCTCATAATGCTTTATAGTTGTCAGGTCTATTACATTCTTTGTTAAGTTTATTCCGAGTATTTTTTATTCTTTTTGTTGCAATTGCAAAAGGAATTGTGTTTTTTGTGTTTTTTTTTTGTGAAGTTTCATTTTGTATCCTGCAGCTTTACTGTATTTGTTTATTATTTCTAATAGTTTGTTGGTGGAGTTACATATTCATTTTTTAAGAATCACATATGTGTAAAAATTAAAAATCATGGATGTCTAGTACTGTTTTATTAATAATTAACACAAAAATCAACCTACATGGCAAGCCAATATTGAGACAGATCACATAAATTATGAAACAAAGAAATTTGTTGCAGCTATTAATGATCACATTTTGGGCAGGAACTTAGCAATGTAGAAACAAAAAATATGTTGTATAAATTATGGGAAACACAGATATTTATCGCATAATGCCACTTTTATGAGTGTGTGTGTGTGTGTGTGTGTGTGTGTGTGTGTGTACTGTTAACAAAATATTAGAAGCAGACACATTGAAAAATTGATTACTGCTATCCTTTTGCAGTAATAGATTTATAAGCAATTTAAATTTTCTTCTTTGTGTTTTGTGTTACTTTACAAATTCCTATGAATTATTATTCACTATGCTTAAAATCATAAATGTTTTTATACTCATATTTTTGTAATAAGTAACCAAAGCCATTGCATGCAGACATTTTTTTTTTCATCCCTGTACCTCTGGAGAATGAATCCACTGATCTCTGTGATTCTTCCTGTCTCTAAATTTCTATAAAACAGTTTATGGAAAACAAAAGGTAATGCAGAGATGGGTACACACAGACAACAAGAAAACAAGTTAGTAAAATATGTCATAGTTAGAAAGAATGAGTTTCATTGAAAGGAAGTCAAGGTGTTTTTTAGTGGATTGGACACAGTCAGGGATCCCTTGGCCAAGGGGTGGTCATCCTTGCATCACTATCTTTTTAACTTAATAATGAGAATTGATGATGCCTAGGGATTAGTGCAAATATGTGTACTGCTTACATTGTGCCAGGTATTGCATGCTATAGACACATTTCATTTTGTATTAAAAGAAATTAAATAAAATGGCTGAGGTCTCATGACCAGTAATCACACTTACAATGTTCCTTGTGCTTTCTGGATTTTTAATTAATTTTTTTTTTTTAGCCGAAACCGGTTTGGCTCAATGGATAGAGCATAGGCTTGGGGACTGAAGGGACCCGGGTTCGATTCTGGTTAAGGGCATGTATCTTGGTTGCAGGCACATCCCCAATAGGCAAGAGGCAGCTGATCGATGACTCTCTTTCATCGATGTTTCTAGCTCTCTGTCTCTCTCCCTTCTTCTCTGTACAAAATTAATAAAATGTATTTAATTTTTTTTTTAAATATAAGGGTTAATTTCACCATAGACTTTTTTTTTTCTTTTTTCATTTTTTTTGAAGGAGCCAAGGAATTTCCATTGTAACCTCAGAACTCCTTACTTATTTACTAACAATGCCTGAATCCCTTTGATATTTTAAACTATCAGATCACCTGACTTTTTTTGAAAGATAAAGGCTACCTTAATTCATTATACTTGGAAATTACATTGAAATAATGTACCATTTGGAAGCTTTTAAAAATGGAAAAACACCTTTTTTGTTGTTGTTTATGATGTTATGTGAAAGGGGTGGGGGAATCTTCATATATAAATAAATTGTTTGCCTTATAGATTTTTGAATGCCTTACCAAACCTTTACCAAATCTGATTAAAATGATATAGCAACTGTGGTTCCACTGGGAAAAATTGTTCTCAAGATTGTAACTCGTATTTCCATGTTGCTGTGGCTAGATTAAGCCAAGGATCTAGGTTCTATATCCTATGTAACCAAAATGAGTAAAAGAACAGAAATTGATCTTATGAGAACCAAGTCCTATGAAATGCACCATGAAATGCAGAAGAAATGAAACTGCCTATTACCTAGGATAATGATCAGTTTTTCCCTAAGTTTACTCAGGAGAAGAAAAAGAGGTAACAGAGATGAATAATTTAAATTCCCTATGAGGAAGACTCCTAAAAATATGGCAGTTAAATAAGGGAGCAGAATTTTGAACAGGACTTAAAATACTTATGTAAATTCTTATTGCACAAATAAGTAACAAACAGATCTCTAGGAATCATCTTATTTTCTCAGGAAAAATAATACCTGCAAAATTTGTATTACACTAATCATGGGTTAGCCTAATCTCTGCTGCAAATAAGTACGCTATGTTTTTATGTGTGTGTGGTTTTTTTTAACTGAGACTACAATGCAACCATATCTCTCTCCTTATACAGAAGTTCATGTAACAGACACTGTTATACTTTATCAATGTGGGAACAGATTTCAGAAGAGATTTAACAGTGTTATATTCCCCAAAAGATTTTAAAGTAGGACACATCTATTCCAGTATTGTTCCTGAAATATGGTCCCATCTAATGGCAGGTATAAGTGGATTAGAAACTCAGAACTTTCATCCCTTTTTTTGGTTAATTTCTCAGTGAAGTCAACAAAAAATGTGAATGTTGCTCCAGCGTCAGCTTGCCTGAGAGAAGCTTTTCTCTGAATGCAAAGCTTGAGTAACTTTTTTAGATAAATGCCGAGTCCCAAACTTGAGTCATAATATGCTCTCAAAATTCATGAGCCTTGCCAATTTGTTCAATAACATTTATATTTGGGAAGGATAGTTTTCCCAAAAAAACATAATGGTTAACTTATTATAACAAGGAATGCAAAACTGCATTTGGGGACAAATTAATAACTTATTTAAGTACAATTTTATCATGTCTAGGTCCTCACACAAACTTGAGTACTAAAATATTAAAATTGTAAAATTGTGTTTTGCACTTTAGAGGGTCATTTTCTCTAAACTATATTACATCAGAACATGGTGACCTCAGATGGCTTCTGAAGAAGTTTCAAATAAAATTCTTTCTGGGGTGAAAAGAAACCACAAAAATACTAAAACTAGTGTTTCCTTTTACTCGCTCAGTAATGGACTCAAGTCACGCTTACCCCTCTGACAGAAAGGACGTGAGGACAGTCCTCCTCCAACAGGAGTCAAGGTTAGCTTTCCCGGACTCAGCTTCTGACTTAAGAGTTCGGGCAGAAAGTCTCTCCATTGCCTCCATGTGCTGATACATCCTTGCTTTGTTCACAGTACAGTTTTGTTTCTGGAAAATCTGCCTTGATTTGACAGTTCCCTTGAATACCACTTCCCAGAAGTTCTGAGCTAACATGGAGAAGGTGCCACAATTCATGTTCTTTCCCACACAGAACTGCCATATATGAATGTCATTCTAAACTCTAATTATAAAATAAACCCTATGATGTTTTCAACAAACCCACTGCTCTGAGAAATCTAATTTCCACTCCATTTACTTTATACTAGTGAGAGAGAGCATAATTAAAGAGAATCAGCTTTCTTAAAACCAAACAACATAGATGCATGTGATAATTTAAGTCTACCACTATCTATAATAATAATAAAAGCATAATATGCTAATTAGACCAGATGTCCTTCTGGATATCCTTCCAGACAACCTTCTGGACTAAACAAGGGCTGTGAGGGAAGCTCGGGTCCTGGTTGCTTCCTGGCAGCTGGAGGGAAGCCTGGGTCCTGGATGCCAGAGGGAAGCCAATGCAGGCAGCCAGGGGAAGGAAGGCCTACTCTTGCACAACTTTCATGCACCAGGCCTCTAGTCCTATATAAAAAAAGGGTAATATGCAAATTGACTCTAATGGCAGAATGACCAGAACGACCACCTAACCAGTCACTATAAGGCACAATGACCACGTCTTAGTCCCTTTCCCTGACCAGAAGATTCCCATTATCCAACGGTGAACAGGGAACCAAGGGTGGGTGTGGGGAATGCAGGCTCCACAAGGCCAAGGCCCCTGCCCTGCCAGTTGCCCCACACACAGAGGGTAATCCATGGTGGGGGTGGGCCCAGTGAGCAGGCAGGAATGGCCAGCCTCTCAGTCTGAAAACTCCCCCGACCCCCCCAGCCAGAAGGCTCTAATCGGCCAATGGCTACTGGGGAACCAGGGATGGGTGGTGGCAGCAGGCAGGCTGGCTACAGGCAGCTAGGGAAGATGGTCCTGATCGCAGGCCAGGCCTAGGGCCTGTACCATGCACAAATTTGTGTGCCAGGCCTCTAGTCATAAAATAAAATAAAAGAAATTTAAATAAAAGGAAAAGAAATGACCTAATCTTGATATGTATTTTATTATCATCTCTTGTTTTATATAATCACATCTAGGACACAGACAAACAAGCAGATACCTTCAGTATGAACATACCCAAGCATCCCTGAGGGCTGTTCTTGAAATAGAGGAGATTTAAAAATCAGAAGCTTTCATATGATGGCTAGTTACAGGATCAGACTACTACAAATAGCACTTACAGTTTGAACTCCTACTATTATGAACAACTACCCAAAATAGCACATATGTTTTAATTCTACAAAATGCAAATTGACTAGATAGGCAATACTAATTTAGAAGAGAAAATATGTATCTCCTATAATTCCATCAACATTTTTATTTACCTAAATTTATATATTTTTTTCACCTTCCTTTAGACTCTCAAGCAGTTTTATATAAACATGCTAAACATAAAATGACAGAGCTTCTCTTTTGCTGGTAAATGTACACCTTTTAGTCAAACAATATCTGTCTTTAATGACTTTCTGATTATTAATAAAAGAAATATATCTGCACAACCACATTAAGCATACCAAAGAATTCAAAATATACATGCTTGTCTTGGCTATTTGATTTTACTTTACCTAAATTATATACATATATAGAGAACCTCAATAAAAGTTATAGACCAAACAGTAAAATTAACAAGTAGCACTTATTCTATTGTTCAAAGAGTTAACATCTGCCCGAATCAATTTCCTTTACATTTACCCCCACTGCAGGTTCAGACTTTGCAATTACCCTTCTTCTACATACTGGGAATTTGTTGGATCCTGTGGACAACGACAAATGCATCAGACAGCCCCACTTTCACTGGGTGATTGGTTGAACTTATCTGCGTGACCAAAACAGGAATCTGAAAAAGCAAAAGCAGATTGCTATGTGTTAGAATTTAATTTCATTTTGCTTAATGGATAAAATCAGGTAATGGAGATAAAGAACTAAAGAGAGAACAACTGGAACCCAAGTCTGAATATGACAAACATTCCTAATATTTACAGTTTAAAAAATAAGGACACACTGAGAGTATACTAAACAAATGAGACAGACTATTGAAGCCTATTTTTTCTAGACTTAGAAGAGTCTAGATAACAATGATTGCTAACTTTATTATCATTTTTATAGAAATAAAAATAGAAATGAAACCATATTCAATGAATAAAAGAACTAGAAACAAAAAAAGAGAAAAATAAATGTACCCCAAAAATCTTTAAGAAGAATAAATAGGTTGTGGGCAATCTGTGAGTAATTCATTAAAGAAAATATTAGATCAGACATTGTTATATAAACCTTAACAAATGGTATAGCAATAAGAAGAGAAAAAATAAACCAAAGAGAAGGTATATTAAGAGCTCTGTTTTACTCATTTTTGCCCATGGCATCATAATATTTAAAAGGGACTTTTTGTTGAAATTGACCAATTAAGAGAAAATTTTAATATTTCTGAAATTACTTTAAAACACACAAATGAAAGATGACATTTTCCATTTATGTACTAAATCAGTCCTTTCTAAAACAATGTTACATACCAATTTTTTTTATCAGTATGTCCAGCATTAAAAATTATTCTGATATTTGGACAACAAAAACAAAACAAATCACAATTTGTAAGAGTGTATTTACTAAATTAAACTCTGATACACTTATTTAGTTATTTACTAAGCTATATTCAGTATCAATATATGAATCCTTTTTCTTAATGGGCATTTTACTCAGTTTACTCAGTTTTATACTCCATGGGGAAGTGTACTACTATAAATGTAATTTACATTTAAGACAGATTACATTTAAAGACAAAAAGACCAAAGGATGGATAAAGCATAGGAAAAAAAATCCAAATTCAGGTTATACTTTGTATATCCTAGTAGGACAAAGTCATAATTTTTAAGTGGCATTATTAGCAGATGCCTGCCTAGAATAAGTATTAAAGCTTTGCAACTGGCATTTGCCACTTGCCTTCATCCCAGTTCAGTTTCCCTCTGCGAGGGGTAGTTCTGTGATAATTAGTGTCTTTCTTTCCTCCATTTTAATTCCAAATCATTTTCTTTTTATTATTTATTTTTATTGAATTATTGGGGTGACATTGGTTAATAAAATTATATAGCTTCAGGTGTAAAATTCTATAACACATCATGTGTATGTTGTATTACGTGTTCACCATCCCAAGTCAAGTCTTTTTCCCCTTCAAACCCAAAGCAGACTTTTATTTCTAGCAACTGAAAAACCTTACTGTTATTATGAATTTTATATTTTTCACCGGGTCTATTTTCTAGCTCACATGGCTTGGTTGCTGCATACTTCCTAGCATAGTATCTCTTTCTCTTCTGTTCAGATTTTCAATTCCACCTTTTCTATCACTTTTTTTTATCTTCCCTACCATCCTTCATGTCATTTGTTTTCTTCACCAATTTCCTTCCTTGCACTGTCTTCTTTTATACTTAGCCTTGAAGTCAAACAATCTCCTCTGGTGCTATTTTTTTTTAAGTATTGATTTTTTACAGAGAGGAAGGGAGAGGGATAGATAGTTAGAAACATCAATGAGAGGAAAACATCGATCAGCTGCCTCCTGCACACCTCCTACTGGGGATATGCCTGCAACCAAGTTACATGCTCTTGACTGGAATCAAACTTGGGATCCGTCAGTCCCCAGGCTGATGCTCTATCTTCTGAGCCAAACCAGTTAGGGCTCCTCTGGTACTTTTTATCTGTGGTGGATCAACTGTAATCATGGCCTCCAATCAATGTCCTCCTTTGTCCTCACTTTTTACTTTTCCAGTTGGCCATCTTCTTCCACTTTAACTCATGGCTCAGTAATATAGCAAAAGAAGATAACAACAAAATAAAGGAAAAAGGAGCTCCAAAGAGTGCTTGCACATTTCTACCTCCTTTAAGGGTCCCCTGCCACAGCCAGAATGTACCCTGCTGGTCTGCTGCAGAGATGAGAGAGATATGGAGAGTTATTCTCCTTCCAACAGAGACCATCATGCACCCGCTGACCATCACCCACTCCACCTGGCTCCTGCGTGGGATCAGAAGGGTACCACCCGGATGAGTGGAACCACTGGGTTGGTCCACAGGCATCTTGTGAGAAATAAGAGATGCAGTTGTTTGAAACCACTACATTTTGGGGTGATTGGTTATGCAACATTGACTGAATTGCTTTTGGTGTTTTTAGAATTAAAAAGCTATCCCTGGAGCAGGAGTAAACAAAGTTGTCAAAGGAGATGGGAGCTGGTGGTGGCAGATCGCTGGGAGCACGTCGTCCCCAAAAGCTAAGGCAATGACTTCACATTTTATCCCAAGTCATGTGGGGGAGACTGTAGAGGGTTTTGAACGGAGGAAAGATGTGCCCTCACATGTGAAAAAGATCCCACAGGCTGATGTGTGATCAAGACTACAGGGCCAAGGGGGAAGAGAGAAAGGACATCATCACGTGTGTCTAGGTTAGAGATGAATTGCTGGGACTACACTAGAGTGGCAAGTGTAGGAGGTGAAAATAGAACAGGAAGATGAATTCTGGATGAACCAGGAAGGAATTGGTATCAAGACATGCCGCACATTCAGTAAGGAGAGTGAGACAAAGAGGCAGGCCAACCACGCCATCAAGACTTTGGTCTTACTAGCAGGAAAAATGAAGCCATGCTTTCCCCCAGGACGGCCACGGGGGCACTCGGTCTGTTCCGCTGCAGGCCATGAGGGGCGTGCTCTGGGTGTGCAGAGGAGGACCTGGGCAGCTCTGAGGAGCACTGCCATGTTCCGGAATGGAGACTAGCAGAAAGGATGGAAAACAATGATAGCTTTATAGCAAGATCAGTGGCTTCAAATGCTTCTCCTTAAGATTTTATAGAGCTCATGAATAAGAGCCCAGGCTGTCTAAAATTGTGGTATTTTATCCTGATTAAATATTAAAATGAATAAGAAGCTTTTGATTCCCCACATCTTAAAATATGGCTGCATTTTGGCTTCCCCACATCTTCCTAGAAGCTACCTAGATCTTTTACAAAATAATTACATATCAGGTTTTGTAAAAGCCACTTTCACCAATTTAATTAAATGACTAATGTTGTAAAAGATTAATGAGTAAGAGATAAACAACTCCAGGCTTTCTCATAGATTTAATTCAGAAACATGTCTGCCTGTCTATATCTGACATTGGCATTGTTTCCACTCTGCCTTGTTGGACTGTATTCTTTTTACTTCCAAATACCAAAGGCATGGAGTTGTTCTGAGAAAGGATCACTCACTCACTCACTGCAGCCGAGGAACGGAACTGTGTCAGCACTTGGGGCCGGGCAGACCATTCACAGGTTTCCACGTCAATGACTAGAGATCGTTAAGATGAACCAGGAGTACTGTGAACTGCATTTAAAATGTGTTGCTTTTTTATTAATATCAGCAAAGCAACTACATGCATATGAGTAAATAAATGATCAGATATTGAACAAAATTAGCACTAGAACATGTTTGTCATAGTGTCACAATCACCCATTCTTTGGAGAACTCTGCACTTGCAAGGATTTGAAATCCACAGCCAGAGAAGCCCTGGCCAAGGATGATGTCCAAGTTCAAAAATTCTAAAAACTTTGCTTATGAGAAGCTATTTGTTATCCTTTCCGCAAATTCATATTTATCTGGAAACTGTCTCAAGTTGGTTCCTAGGGATGTTAGGAAACATATGAAATTATATACTCTTAACTATTACAGCTTTAAAAAAGAATAATAAATATAGCTTCATTATTTTCATTTACTTGTAATCGTTGCCTTTAATGACTAAAGCAAAACTAAATTTTTACTTAACCTCCTTATGATTTGTACTGAACCATAAATTTCTGAGGATGTTTTACAATTACATTCCCCCACAAGACTGAGATAGAAAAGAAGCCTTAGTGCCAGTTAAAATATGGCTGCATTTTGGCTTTTACTATCATTTATAGATTCGTTTCAAGTATTTTAATTTTTTATCCTATTTAATAAGAGATAGCTATGTTTATTATTTAAATTAGCATAAGTTTCCCCATAAATGGCATAGGGCAGCACATTAAGATACATGCAGGAAAGAGCTGCAGCCTCTAGACAACATTCAGGCCGGGAGGCTATTGGGAGTGAGCCACGCAGGGCAGAGCACACTGGCCTTGAGGGGCAAGTTCAAAGTCAGGAGCTGCTCCCTTCTCTGCACGGTGGCATCCCTCGCTGGGACACAAGGGCCCAACACAATACCTAAAATGTGAATTTTTACATCTCAGTCTCTGAACAGGGAGGCAACAGCATGCTGCTTGGATTAGAGGTAATGGGATTTTATTTTCCTGTCTGTTCTGTCCTGCAAACCTCATCAAAACATTCATTTGTTCCCATTATGGACCCAGCTAGCTATCTGGTCAGCGGCACAGCATCTCAGCAAGGGCTTGATTGTATAGTATGTGAGCCAAAGTATGAATCATGTGCCTATTGGAAAGCAACCAGAAAAGAATTACTCTAAGCTCATTTTTGTTCACTCTTTTTCTTCACTCACTAATCAGCAATATGGTGTCTCACTCTCTCTCTCTCTCTATATATATATACATGTTTTAAACCAAAGCTTACTATTTTACTCATTCTCACCCTCATCCAACCCTTAACTTTCCAATTCATCTTCCTTAAATATCTGCTCTGGTTTCACCATTACCTAGTAGGGTATCCAATTTTACAAAGCCACACACTGTTTTATTATCATCAAAAACAACACATAAGGTACAGATGGTTAGTTCTTATTTGTCTAAAAACTACAATGACTAGAAAAACTTTCAGTTAAATTTGACAATATACAAATCTATTTGTTTCACTGTACATCACCAATATTTCACAAAATTATTTTAATTC